TTGTGCTGTTTCATACGACTTTGTTGGATCCTTTGAGAATCTGGAGTTGGATGCTAATCAAGTACTGAAAAAGCTTAATGTGAATGAACAAGTTTCTTTTCCTAAACAACAGAAGTATTATAAATCGGGTGGTAAAGGACATGTAGAAAGTGAGAAATTCACAGATGTATCATCAGATATGTTGAAAAAAGCACTGAGAAAATATGATTTGGACTACAAATTGTTTTCATACCAAATACCAAATGTTTGAAAAGACCTGAAATTACTTGTAGCCTCAGAACAAGTCACCAACTAATCACTTTATGCACTTTGTGCGCTATACCCTCTTAAAGGACAATGACATCTGACACCCCCACTCCAAAAAAAGCCAACAACAAAAACAATTCATATAGAGTAAGACTTAGCCAGCATATAAAGATCTTTGTCTAAATATCTGGTTGTTGCTTCAATTTTAATTTTGATTACAAATGGACAAATACTATTAAACAATTAGATTATGAGCTTGAGATTTCAAGTAACCAGACAAAGAACATTCTTCGACAGAACTTTTAAACTTTGGAACTCTTTAGACTCTACACCCAAGTTGAAACGGAAAATATTTTCTATTTTTTAAAACATAGTAGTGTAGATGCAAGATGGACAGATGAACTAAAAAAGAAGTATTTACCAAAAATGCAAATTTATTGAATACAATAATTGTACAATATTATTATTATATTTATACCTATCACCTTGTTTTGCACACATTTTAGTTATAGCTACTATTGAAAAAAAGTTTGAACTGTGACTTAATATATTATATTCTGGACTTCTTTTATTCACATGACACTTAATTAACTTCTTAGCTTCAAAATATANCCCCCCCCACACACACGCGCGCGATCCACAAATCAAATTATCTACAAACCACAGAAACCCACACTCAATAATAGTAATAACCATATCCTTCTGACCGTAGAATTGTCCCACAAATACTTATCATTCTAGAGAGTCCATTCTGTATCATCAACCCAGTCTCACTCGCAGACATTATTCAGTTAAGCAGGGCTGGATAGCTTTTTCTGAGTCTCTCAAACTGCTGCATCTACCCAGGACTAGTGGATTTCAGCTAATATATCTAGCACTTCTTGTTTACATGTCATCCTGAGGCTTTTCAAGTGAAAGTCCATCCATTTCTTGATGATTTTCAATTTCATGGTTCTCTCCTGAGATATCCAGATAACTGTCTTCATGGGATAAAACACCTGGCTTCTCCATGGCGCACAAACTGCAGCTACATGTCCCTGTGTATCGCTTGCGAAAGTAGAAGCTGGAAGGAGCAGGAAGAGAGAAAAGTTAACAGATGTTAGTTAAAGTGACATAACTTGAACTGAGTTCCCATGGATTAGTGCTTAGACTTCCTTATATTCAAAAGGTGGAGAGCCACTGTAAATGCAGGAGTAGAGTTGTTCTCCCACAAGTCTGAGGAGATAAGTGATCCTGCCAGCAAAAAGTTACTTGTCCGCAAGGAAAATCTACTCACCTCAGACTACTGGCTAGCACTTTTTGGAGCCCTGAATCTACAGTATATTAAGGTCTACCTCAAAGTGAAGGTATTCTGGATTTCAACTGACAGGGATTATCAAATTGGGGCAAAAATTAAAACCCCCAAAAATCCCTAGGACTTCAAACAAAACCCCAAAAAATCCCGAGACCAAAATTTAACCCCCCAAAATTTCCAACCGGAATTTCCAAGCCATAAAAATTTCCAGAGAGCATTAAATGATACAATACGAAAAATGGAAACAGTAATGGAATGTTTGTGTTTATTTATTCATCACGCCATCTGGAGTAAGAACCTTTTCTGCAGGTGATGGTCATCGTTAATAACAACACTCGAGACACCCAAGAACATATTCTGTTACAACAATAACATTATGCAGAATGACATCTCTAAACAAGACCACCCTGGGCAAGAACATTACATGAACAACCCCATCATGTCATGCTTTATGAACTACATTGCATCTGTAATGGCTTTGTTCACAGCATAAAATAAATTCTAATATCATTCTTGGGTAATTACCCAGGGCAAATTGATGAAAAAAATGTCTGCACATATATATGACACAGAACTACATGTATGTGGCTGGGATATGTGGGAACTATCACAAATCTTCAGGTTGTTTTGAATACCTCCAAAAACCCCTACTTGAATCAAGCTACCAAAAAAAAAATACTTGCCAAAATTTTCCTGCCCAAAAAATCACGAAATCAAAAATTTCAAACCCAAAAAAATCCTTCGATCACCCCCATCACTTGAAATCCAGAGTACCCCGCCTCCTGAGTTGGCCCCATAGGTACTAGTAAAAGCTTGTACTGGTTTCGGATACCAGTCAATCATAAGGCTATCTCCTAAACTAAGTTTGCTGACCTTGTACCTTGTTAGACAAGTATACAGGTGGGTTGAGAGAGGAGAGAGTCTGTCAAACATATTCAGAACATTGACTCCCCAGATACTGTAAACGACACGCACACACAGAAATCTGCAAAACTTACAAGAAGCTTAAAAGCCACAAGCTGAATACAACTGCTGCAATGATTGTAACAACCCAGATGCTGGAATTAAAAAACCAAAATAACAAATTACAGGTCTAAAATGCATGTTTTTTTCACACTAGCCTAAAATCTCAGCCATCTCCCACTCTGGGCTGGGAGTGGGATATAATTAACTGACATTTTAGTCTAATAATGTGCATGCACAGAATTAATGTTATAATTTTGTCACAATACAATTTGGTAGTTGGGGGAATTTGAGGTGTACCAATCTTTTAGGTCCAGTCAGTATACAAATTATCTATATTAGTCAACATACATATTTTCTTACAAGCCTGGCCTGGAGAGTTTTAAGTCATCTCCTATTGAAGTTAGAAATGAAGAAACTGTTTCATTACAAAATCACTAGACACAGACATGAAACTTACAGAATACAAAGAAATATTTCTGGTCACAACATCAAGATTAACATAAACAAGACTCAGTTCTTTCCGTACTTCAGGATACTTAGCAAAGGAAGAGCAAGGCAAGTCCAGATCCCTCCACCCATGAATGGAGAGTGCAGAAGCTGTTTGAAGGCAAAATCAGCAGGCACAGGAGTCCTACTCTCGGGATCCACCATACGTAACAGAATTAGTCCTGTCGCAATCACACCTGTATTCATTCCAAAGTCAGCGATTGCTCTCTCAAACCTGTCAACAAAAAGAAATTCAGAGTAACTGCCAAGACAAACAGTTGCCAGTCCTGTCACTTGATTTGAGTTTGGCAAAATTGTCATGGTCATAATGTACTGATCAAAACAGATTACTCTCTTTTGTTGCCCAGGGTAGAGAGAGGGAAAACTCCTCATTTTCACAGACTTAATAGACACAGGAATATGAGGGTATATGTGGTTGGGATAGGGGTGTATGTGCACACGCTTGTCCTTGAAGACACATATGACAAGGAAATGGTGCAGAGCAAGACAAACAGCATTATTGGTTTTCCTCTAACATACCAGTGATTGGGTAAGAGAAGTCTTGACAAACAGCCTAACATGATGAAGTTCCAGATAAAACCACACACGCACAGGATTAGGAGAGGAGCAATGTCGACAGCAACAGCAGAGACATCTACCGTAGCCACAGCTGAAGTTATGAGGAAATCTAATGAAGAGGATGCTATCCTTTCCATAAGAGATGCATCAATCAATTCATTAATGCTCTGGATTCTCTCAATGATAAGCTGAAAGGGAAGACATTCACTAAGATTAAAAGACTATCTACAGTCATAGCTACCGAAAAAGGTAAAGGTAGAGTCTGCATACAAGCCAAGTGGTGCTTATCTCTGGTTTCCACAGCATGAAGCAACTAGGGATATTTCTACTCCCCCCCTGGATGGGATGCTAGTCCATTGCAGGGTTACCCCCAGCATTAAATTCACCGGTACCCATTTACACACCTGGGTGGAGAGAGGCACTGTGAGAGTAAAGCGTCTTGCCCAGCACCACAACACAATGACCCCAGCCAGGGCTTGAACCCGGACCACTCAGTCCAGAGAGGAGTACACTAACCATGAAGCCACTGTGCCTTGACAAAGCTACAGAACTGATGTAAAAATTTTACTGATTGATTGGTTGGTCGGTTGTTTCAGTTTGATGGTAAAACAATGTAAACTCATCTCCTAACCTGAATAATAATACCTCCAGCCATACACAGTGGAAACAGGGGTATGCCAGAGAGAAAGTTAAGATCCTTGAGCTTCTGTGAAGTGCTTTCAATTGCAATCAGTCCCTGCTTTAATCCATAACCAATCAACATAGCTATTCCCAGTACTGCCAGGTGAAATGCCAGCACGTCTATAGAACTTGCTCTAACTGTTTGAACTCCAGCTGAGGGCCGACTGCCAACTGCATATACACCCCTTGGAAAATGTGAAAGAAGACTTAGGTAAGGCAGACAAGTATACGACTGGGTGGAAAATTAGTTATAACCTAGTTGTACAGTAGAACTCTGAAAAAAAACAAAGTGCCTTGAAGGTGCTGGGGAAGTATGAATATTTAATAGCAACCAGGCTTTTAGCCAGTATTTGAAAAGTGGGCGTCCAAAATGTGCTAATATTATGTTCTGCTCAAACGAACAATTATTTATTATGAAAAATAAAACAATTTTCTTTAATAAGTGGCTGTCCACAGGATACCTGCACACCCATCTGGCTAAAAGCCTGATAGCAATGGGGGCTTATTTGTTCTGGGGGCCCATGCAGTCATGGAGACACACTTGTGTGTTAGAGTTTAAAGAAAAGGATGTTATCTATACCAACCTAATGGATATCTTGACCTCCTGAGCTGTGTCAATCCTCTCCCTCTTCACCCATCCCCTGTGAGTGGCAATGTTAACTAACATTACACCACAAATGACTGAAAAAACAAGTCCCAGAGTTGCACTGGCCAAACCAAAGTCTCCGCCATTAGGAAATCCAAGCTGTGGAACAAAACAATCTAGTGTGAGATCTGATCAGTGTATAACTGAGTGTTCTTGGACATCATTCTGTTCTGGGAAGTGAACAAATTTCCGAGAACATAGCTCAAGGAAAACTGTGAGCTTTAAGGAACAGATAATGTTGAAGGACAAATATCCAAGCACTTTTCCTGCCAAATGGAGGCCATTATGAACACTATCCTTCAAATATTTTTTGCAACACATGCAGTTTGGAAAATTAGGGAAAATCACTTGGCTATACTCCCCAGTTTTTGCTGGGGCATATTCAGTCACATGATGTGTTTAGACCAATTGCACACGAGCGCAAGCATCTGATGGATGATAAAGTTAATTATCTCATCATGGTAACTTACTGCTTTGTATGTTGGCGTGAGTCCTCCAGCAGTCCCATGACCACCTGCAAACCCCACAGGAAGAACAGTAGCGAATAAAGGACTGACACCAAAAGCAGGAATCTGCAAACAATGGGACCTGGTAACTAATTCATCCAATGGTGCAATACAAGAAGAATGTGGCTAAAATTACCATTAGTGCACTTTATCAATCAATGCATTTTTTATTCCTTTTCATTGACAGAAAGCCCACCACATGACCTGCAAATAACTGCCTACAAATAATGGTCTGCTCTTGCAAAATACCATCCAAATGTGGTTTGTTGCAAAAAATATCCAGTGCTCATGTGCATTGTAACCATGCTCTTGTGTGAAAAATGACAGATCACTTCCCTGAGCTGTCAGAGAATTATTTAAATATGAAAACAAACTTGGTGAATGAATGATAAAACAATTATTGGACTCAGTTTCTGCACAATATTGTCATTTGTCAGTGTCTCATAGATTAATTATTTGCCTCAATCAGCCTTCAGCTTCAGCAAATAATTGATCCACTAGCCACTGACAAATCACAATATTTTGCTCAGCCTTGTCCAACAATTATTGTTAAGTATGCATGCTTTCTCAGTATAGAACAACTGGCTATTCCAAAAAGTTCATTATACAAGTAGGGAAATTATCATAGGAGAAATGTGGTGATGACCACTAGGGTAGCAAGGAGTCCTTACCAACAGAGCACCAGTCACAACAAGTGCGACAATCCATTGTCCCCAGGCAATAAGCATGCCATACATAAGCTGTGGTCCTGCCTGCTTCCATATCACTGCCACATTAGGAATCTGGGTACCAAGAAACAATGATGAGAACACAATATTGATGAGGAATCCTGCCAGGTTGTACCTAGGGAGAAAGAAAGAGAAATATAGCTCATGTTGGCCAGCTACTGCAACCTTGGATAGAATGTGTTCGAAAATGCGCAAAAACATGAAATTATAAGTGTAATACCTACAGACTACATGAGAATAAGTGTCAGCACCCCATTCCTCCTTTCAATGTTGGAAAACGGTAAAATGCAAGCTTGCGTTAGATGCAAGTGTTTTGTCAACATTGCACAGGGGAGGGTAGGGGCAAAAGGCATAAAGAATTAATTTTTCCGACCCTGTTGACCAAGAAGGCCTTGATCTGAGACAGTGCAAGGCACTTTGTGTACTATGCACACTGAGAATCAGCAACAAAGTGATGGGGGCAGAAGAATGGGGTTACCAAACCTCATGTTTACACCATTATATGTAAGGCCCATAAGCAGTCAACTCTCATCCCTCTCTCAGCCAGCAGAAATCAAGAGACAGTGGGCTCTGGCAACTGGTCTGAATTTCAATCTTTTAAAAGAAAAGTATATTATTTCAGGCCATAAAGGAAAGTAATTATTAGGGTCCCTTGCACGTGATGTACTTCTAGCCTTACTTTTTCCACAAATTAAAATCAAGGTGCACGAGTACTTCAAAGCGCATGACAGCGAAAAACATCTGTCGATAGGCAATTTCACGACAAGAAAAAACAATCTGGAAATTGTGTAATTAATGTTCGTGGAACGATTAAATTTTGAAATTTAAATCTTAACTTAAATGTCTTATTATCCTGATTTTCGTCGTGACAAGGTAGTAAAAACCTTAGCTTAATGGCAGTACTTCGCAATTTCCGCCCAAGAATTCCCGATTGAAAAGCTGAATTGCGATTTCATCACTGGGTTTCTCTATGTAAATGTTCACCAAAACCAGTATTTAGGGGGTGTTATGTCTTTATTTATATACACTTAAGCTTACACATCTCGCTTCTTAGCTAATACACACAACAAAAAAATACATACCATCCTCTGGTGAAATTTAATGCGATAAATTTAGAAACATCTTTGTTGAGGCTGGCTACTTGCAGTACAATCAAACCCAGAATCCCGCCAATGACGGAGGCAGGTAGGTAAAGCTTCTGGAAGATCCATACGTACAGGCGAAGGAACTTCCCCAAAACAAGAAGAAAGCACAGCCAACAAAAAGATGCCACCGCTGAATAGGCCATAGGTATTTTTGGCTCCTCACAAAGCCCGGCATCGTTAAAAACATAGCCTGCACTGCAGAAACAAGAACTTGCATTCGCGGTCCCAGTGCAGACACCTCCTGGTCCGCATGAATTCGTCACAGACGCATTGCAGGTCATGGTGTCAAGAAAGTAGTTTGACTTGTAAAATAAAAAATAATTTAAGGAAGAGAGCACCAAACGATTCTCGGACAAATACCGTCAAAAGATCAACAAACGCTTCCCATATCTTGTTTATTCTCGTCCCGTTAGAGGACGAAAGCGCTGCGAGGTACCAACCGGGCCGCCAAGCGTGGCACAGGTCAATATTTTGATTGACGGGCTAATCTGTTGATAAGATTGAAGTGAGTGGGTTTCGAAAAGGGACTTTAATATGCATATTAAAGAAAAACAATAAAAGCTTCTATGGACGTCTGTTTTTGAAAATCAAACAAAATTAGCGTTGTAAGAGTGAAATAATTCATCTGCTTGAACCTCGTCATGGAAACGCATGCGAGTCAGATTAAAAAGAGACTTAATGAAGGTCTTAGGACGGGAAGTGGGAGTTGGGGGATGGGGAGCAGTGCGGGTATTATAGCTCATAAGTGGCAAGCTCGTGTCTGAAGAAAGTCGAAGAATTATTTTAACATTTTTTTTAGTTGATCTTATTCTGTCCCAGCTTGAATCTAGAGGCTTAGCTGGAATTCAGAATAGGAGAGAATAAGATGAATGACAAACTTTTTATTTAGACATCGACCTTTGCTAAAGTCGGAATAAAAACAAATTAA